AGCGAGGCTAGTTCTTTAGCTGAATCAGAATCACCTGGGGGCCTTGTTAAAACACCAGCCTCTACTCCCAGCTGGTCAGGGAAAGACACGCTCCATGTGATGTCTTACATGTGGGATCTAATGAACAAAATAAACTGACCAACCAGAGACAGACTCACAGATACAAAGAACAGACTGAGCTGTTCTCTCATTGAGGTTGGGGGGCTAGGTGAAAAGGGTGAAGGGATTAAGAAACAAAAAACCGCAGACACAGACAACAGTATGGTGACTGCCAGAGGGAAAGGGGGGAGGTAAGAGAGGGTTCAGGGGGGTTAACGGTGATGGAAGACTTGACTTTGGGCAGTGACGCAATGTACAGATGATGTATTGTGGAACTGAAGACCTGAAACCTGCATAATTGTATTGACCAATGTCACCCCAATAAATTCAATAAAAATTCAAACCAAAACAACTAAAAAACCCCACCATCTTTCTATGTAATAGTGTTGGACGGCGATGCCTGTTACTACATCGTCAACATGACGCCCGATTGGGGAAATTTGTTTCAGGGTTTAGTCCTGTGAAAACGGCATTTCTAGTAGCATCTCCAGGGTTCTGCTCCCCGGGGCTCTCCCTGTCCCCTCTGCTGGCTCCTTTCCTCCTGCCTGCACTTTCCTGCGTCTTCTTCTCTTGCAGGACGAGCTACCTAGCTGTCCTGCTCGGCCCCAGGTGGAGCAGTACCAGCATAACCTGAAAGCTTGTCAGAATGCAGAGTCTCAGGCCCCGGCCCCAAACCACTGAGCAAGAACCTGTATTTTAACAAAAGCCCCAAGCAGTGTGCAAGTATCTTCAACATGTACGTCTCGAGGATAAAATGGTCCTGAAACATCCCTCCCCACCCTGCACGGAGTGGAGACAGCCGGCCCCAGGCTGCCGGGGAGCCCGGGAAGGGGAGTCCCCCCTCAGCCCCCAGGCAGGGGTAGGCACAGCGCTCCTGAGGCCTGGCCCCGCAGTCACTCCAGGGAGTCCTGAGCTCTCTGTGGCCCTCTCGGCCTTGACCCCAACTGCCTCCCTCCTCTCGGCCTTGAGTTTTGCCGAAGAAGCCTAGAGGCAGCTCTGCTGGGAGGTGACCCTGCTGCCAGTTTCCCAGTCCCTTGTCCAGGAGAAAAAGGGAAAGTTCCAACTCACCTTTCCAGTGGCCAATTCGCACCTCTCCGTGGCTGCTGAGGGCCTCACACTGCAGGGGTCGAAGCCACTCAGGCTCTGCCCGCCCCAGGCTCTCCTGCCCCCGCCCTTCCTGCGCCCGCCCTTCCTGCGCCCGCCCTTCCTGCGCCCGCCCTTCCTGCGCCCGCGCTTCCTGCCCCTGCCCTTCCTGCGCCTGCCCTTCCTGCGCCTGCGCTTCCTGCCCCTGCGCTTCCTGCGCCTGCGCTTCCTGCCCCTGCGCTTCCTGCGCCTGCCCTTCCTGCGCCTGCCCTTCCTGCCCCTGCGCTTCCTGCGCCTGCCCTTCCTGCCCCTGCCCTTCCTGCGCCTGCGCTTCCCGCGCCTGCGCTTCCCGCGCCTGCCCTTCCCGCGCCTGCGCTTCCCGCGCCTGCGCTTCCCGCGCCTGCGCTTCCCGCCCCTGCGCTTCCCGCGCCTGCCCTTCCCGCCCCTGCGCTTCCCGCGCCTGCCCTTCCCGCGCCTGCCCTTCCCGCCCCTGCGCTTCCCGCCCCTGCCCTTCCCGCGCCTGCCCTTCCCGCCCCTGCGCTTCCCGCGCCTGCGCTTCCCGCGCCTGCCCTTCCCGCCCCTGCCCTTCCTGCCCCTGCGCTTCCTGCGCCTGCGCTTCCTGCGCCTGCGCTTCCTGCCCCTGCGCTTCCTGCGCCTGCCCTTCCTGCGCCTGCGCTTCCTGCCCCTGCGCTTCCTGCGCCTGCCCTTCCTGCGCCTGCCCTTCCTGCGCCTGCCCTTCCTGCGCCTGCGCTTCCTGCGCCTGCGCTTCCTGCCCCTGCGCTTCCTGCGCCTGCCCTTCCTGCGCCTGCGCTTCCTGCCCCTGCGCTTCCTGCGCCTGCCCTTCCTGCGCCTGCCCTTCCTGCGCCTGCCCTTCCTGCCCCTGCGCTTCCTGCCCCTGCGCTTCCTGCCCCTGCCTTTCCAGTGAGCAGGCTTCCCGGAGGGACGCCGGCAGGAGGACAGGTGCCAGCCGGTACCGTAAATGGGGGGGGGGAGCCTCCCTTGTCCAACGGGGAGGCGCCAGGTTATCATTTGTAAATAGGGTCTCGCTGTGGCCAGACTGAAATTTTATGAGATTTCCTTATGATACTGTGGCAAGCCATTTTTTAAAAATATTTGTTTCCATCCGTGAGAGCCAATGAAACCGTGTTTTGCAAGGCCTGTGCTCAGAAGCAAGTTATCCCTGGCTTTCTCCTCCGCCCTTCGCCATCTCTTCACCCTCAACACTGTACACGTCACCTAAGTCCTGGCTTCCTCTTCTGCCACCTGACTCCACGCACCAGGGAGAGCACCGTCTGGTAACCCTACGTCCATCTCTTTGTAGTAAGACACACCTACCAACCGCCACATTATTTTAAAACACTGCTCCAGTGATGTGTATCACCCTCCTATTCAAAGCCCGTTAGTGACGCCCCGGGCCTGCAGCTGTCAGAACTGTATCCCAGGTGACAGTTCCTCCCGAATTAGCCCCGCTTCTGACTGGATCCCCGAAGGCCTGGCCCAGCACGGGCACGGTTGTGGGGGCGGAAGGGAAGCGGGCGGCACAGCGGCGCTCGGGCCCCCAGTGCAGAGCAGACCGCCTGCCGCCTACTCCCCACCCAAGGCCCCGGGAACCCGAAGCAGACTGTGCGCAGGTTTGCAAACTGTCAGCCTCAGGGTCCGGTTGCTCTACAAACACCTCCTGTTTCGCTCCCATTACTTAAAGACAGTTGCACTCTCTAGAAATAGTGGCTGTACATAAAAATCAGGGTTCCTGTCCCAAAAAATTATGGCAACTACTGGTTGGAGTTGAGTACCCGTTACCTCTTCAGACGCTGTCTACGTCTTCACCTACCCAATCAGCTTACTACTAACAAAAGTAAGAAAAGGCTTAAGGACACTTTAGAGATAATTGAAAATGGGAATCAAATATTTCTGTCTTAGAACTTCACAGGTACATTAAAAGTAAGCAAGGTATAAAGTTAGCAACAATGTAGATACACACACACACACATCCATGTTTTCCTTGTATTAAGGCTTACTCACTAATACCCTGATACGACTTTAAGTCCCAACCAATTATATGATTGTTTCTGATACGTAAGTCAGATGAGCCTTCATTGTTAAACTCTCTAAAGCAGCAATTCTCAACCTGGGGGTCGCAACCCCTTTGGGGGTCGAACGACCCTTTCACAAGGGTCGCCTAAGACCATCCGAAAACACCTATTTCCGATCACGATTCCCAACAGTAGCAAAATTGGTTATGAAGTAGCAACGAAAATAATTTTACGGCTGGGGCCACCACATGAGCTGTATCGAAGGGCCGCAGCATCAGGAAGGCTGAGAACCACTGCTCTACAGGGTTTACCTGGGTCTCCCGTTGGCCCCTCCGTATCCGTCACCACAGGTCTGGGGCCCTAAAAAGATGGACGCGTATGGACCACATCTGGATTCCAGTTGGATCTGGCCCACGGTGGGCACCAGCTCGAGTTTGGAGAGAAAGGGTCAGGGGTCGTCTCCGGGCGCCATCACTGCAGGGACGTGGCAGGCTGTCTGTGTCCCTCCCCAGACGAAGGCAGCCCTGCCCAGGGTTCCAGGTGAAGGGGTGGCTGCCCCCTCCCCAGGCTGTGAGGGCACAGAACTCTCCAGCGTTGCAATCTTGGCCCAGGGGTTCTGAAATTACCCTAATTTAAGTGCGTCACCTATTTCTTGCTGCAACCTATCTCCCCCGTCTCGCTCCCCTAGCTGAACACAAACAGCGTGCAGGAAGAGGGAGTCGTTTTCCAGGATGTACTATCACTGCCTGGGAACAGTCTGCAGCCTTGGAGCGCTGCCCTTCTGTCACGAGGGTTTCGGAATTCCGTGTGTAAGCCTGAACTGTTTCTAAACATGTGATCAAGAGATACCATGGGCAATGCTTAGCCTTGAAGGTTACAAAAGAAATGACATCTTCTTAAAATTAGGTATATTTAATCCTACAGATACCCTCATTTTTGCATTATGATCCTTCCATTGGTATTCTAACACATCAGTGCCATCTGCTGGGAAGTTAACACACCGTCAGGTCTCCCAAATCCCAAAGCATATGCCTTTTGGGGGACTGCAGGGGATAAATGTACTCTTTATTTAAGAAAAACGCCTTATTTTTAAATACACAGCTGCTTAACTTCTACATCGTTATCAATATAAACCCCAGTTAATTACAAAGCACTAAAATAAAGTCTGAAACATAATTTTTAAAACACACCAAACATTTCTCTGGACACGTCACTTGGTTTCCAGAACATTCTCCTGTTGCTCTGCTGTGTGAAGCCCAGCAAGTCAGCGGGAGCTGGCTCTTTCCCAGAGGCCCAGGACATCTGCACGTGGGAGACCACTGAAATAGGTACGTTCCGATAGAATATATACTGTATGTATTTAAATAAAATAGATACGTCTCTTCCGTACATGACAAAGTTCCGGGGGGACATGAGCAGAGGGAGGCAGGATGAGCTCTTTCTGGAGTCCTTCCACCATCTCTAAAAAGCAACTGAAATAGATGCATAAAAACAATGCGACACAACTATTCAATTTTCCCATAAAACTTGCAACAGATATTCTCAATGATAATATAGAAACATAAAGCGTTGCTTAAGTGATTTTAATAACATGACATAAAACCCCTATACTTGATAGAATCGTTATGCAAAATACATAGATGAATACTGTCTTCTTTTAAAAATATAAAATAAATAAGCAAGACATGTGAAAATAGGCAAGTTTCCATTAAATAAATGAAAAAATTTTTTAAAAAAGAAAGTTTTGCTTTCCATACCATTTGAAAAAGGAAATTTATCATTTAAACAATATTCAAGTTTATTAAACAAATTTTTAAAGTAATATAAAACATTTAGCTTTCATCAGCTTCAAGGTTTATGTTGCTCCCAAATTTTGCATATAACTGAACCTTCAAATCTGCTAACACCCGCTGAATTGATTCCACTCTGGATTCTAAGGCGTCAATTTCTTCTTGCAAATTTTTCTGGGGAAAAAAAAAAATTTTTAAGTTAATTCTATTCAGTTGAATGATTTCTGAGCACCTGTGGCTGAAAAATATATTTGGGAAAACTTTTAGGTCAAGAACTCTCTCAACCTGGACAGGCAGCTAGAACACTGATAATTAGATCTCAACCAAAAGTCGGAATATGGGCATTTTTAATTCATGGCCTGTATTGGCTGATAAGATAAGTCAAGCTTGTTTTCTCCATTTTGGCTGATTTAAGACAACATAACAGATAAAGAAAGCTAATCTCCACATGAGCATACCCTAATAAACAAAGAACCACCGTCCACACGTCTGGCAAACGGTGCCAGCAGGTGGCTTCGGACCGTCTCTCCAACTGCCCGTGAAAGGAACTGACGCTGGAGGAAGTGGTGAGAACCCGCACTGCACCGAACACGAGCAACACCTCGGCCACAGCCTGGCGGAGATTCCCACTGCACCGCCTTCCCACCGGCTGTGTGCTCCGTGCGGGCAGGGCCGGGCGTGGTTTGAGGCCGAGTCCCTGCACGCGGTGGGACCCAATGCAGACTACACACTCAATAAATACTTCTGGAAGGAATGAAAGAATGGAAGACAAAATAAAGGTTCAATATCTGTGTGTGTGTGGTGGGGGCGAGAGGTGGGATCGGGGGGAAAGGAAGGATGCTCACAACAATGACAAAAATTTATCTTGAAATAATTCCAAGAAGAGTATTTTAGAATGGTTAAAAAGAAAACCAAAATTACAGACTTTTACTATGAAAGAAAAGGTTTAAGCATAAGAGAAGACATACATTGTTTCTGCATTAAAAGAGCTAGGACTGACCTGGCCGGTTTGGATCAGAGGTAGAGCATCAACCTATGGACCAAGGAGTCCCAGGTTCAATTCCCGGTCAAAGGCACGTACCTGAGTTGCAGGTTCGATCTCTGGCCACAGGTGGGGTCATGCAGGAGGCAACCAATCGATATGTCTCTCTCACATCAACGTTTCTCTTTCTCTTTCTCTTTCTCTCTCTCTCTCCCCCCCTCCCCCTCTATCCAAAAGAATCAATAGAAAAAATATCCTTGGGTGAGGAGTTAAAAAAAAAAATCCAGGAGTGTTAGTCTTTCCTGAGGTTTATTAAATGTACATTTAATTCATGATAAGTTTTGCTTTAATGACATTTATTTATCTTTAATTTATTTTAGAGAGAGAGAGACCTCAATAAGCTGCCTCCTGTGCTTACCCTGACCCAGGCTGGAACACCAGCCACAGTTTTTTCATGAGATTTAGAGACAGTAGATGAACATTTTCAATAATAGTCAAGATAATTAAGCAACTTTCGAGAGAATTAGAAAATATGTAACTGCCATCAGCTTCCCACACACAGCGGGGCTGCCCCTCTCGCACACAGCTGGAGGAGCCACGAACTGGAAACTAATTTCATACAATGTCTCAAACGCCTCAAACCCGTCAATGAACCGCACTCTGACCCAGGAATTACACTTCACGGATTATTTCCTCCAAAGAAGTTCCTAAATGTGAGCAAAGATTAAAGTATAACAGTGCTCACTAGAGAATCACTTGGGGAAAATATTGGAAACAAATGAGTATAACATTAGGAGGACAGTGAGCTGAGTCAACGTCCACCGACGTGACATTAAACATGACAAAAGCATCAAACATGAGGTTTTTAGTGTGTGTGCCCGGCCCACAGCAGGCTCCGGGGAGTTTCTGCTGCGCAAACAAACATCAGATGGAAGGGAAAGGACTGCTGGGAGGTTAACTGGCCAAGACGTGATGCAGAAGTACAGAGGAGGAGGACAAGAGGCAGGGCAGCGTTCACCACGGCATCACCTCTGGGCCGCGGGACTGAGTGAGCCGCACCACCTCTCTAAGCCTGTGCTTCAACCCCGGCGGGGCCTACCGGCACCTGTCCCGCAGCGCCCTGGTGAGGGCTGCACAGATCACACCTGCGGAGCATTCTGAGCACAGGGCTGGACGTGTAAGACCCGTGGAACATGAGCCAGCACCTGCTCTGTTCCCTGCTCCTACATGTGCTTTATAATGATACAAATCCCAATTTACGAGGTAACTTCATCACCCAGCAAGACTTCCTTATACCTTTGCTTCTTCTAACATATCTTGCGTTTCCTCTTGGGAATGGCTAATGAAAACATCCCCAATCTGGTAAGGTATCATTAAGCAGTCGTCATCTGCAAGCATGATGTCCTCGCAAGCATCTTCTAGATTCTGGAGTTGTTTCTGCAAATGCAAAAGGGAACAGCAATGAAAAATGTATTCAAAATTCCCCAATAGATGCTAAAACCCAACTTTAACTGGGGGACACCAACTCTCAGAGGGATCCTGTCACAAAGATATTATCACACCGAACTGAGACATTCTTGCATTTTGCGATGACTTCACTCCCAGATGGCTACAGCATGTGTGCTGGACAGTGGGGACCCCTGGCCACTCAAAACGTCTCCTACTTTAACGGTTTCTCACTGCATGGCTTCTGCCTTACTGTGGGAGAATTACAGCAAAGCAAAAACCAATCCACACCGCTCAGCCGTGCTTGATGATAGGATGAAAGCAAGTAACTTAAAGTCCACCAATCAAACGCACTTGAACTTCAACTCAGGAGCGCTGCATGAGCGGAGGCTGGGCACAAGGCTCCGATTGCCAGGGGCAGCTGTGGTGGCGGTCGAGTGTCCTAGGTCTGAAGGGCAGCTTCCTCGCTGTGGAGGAGGCAGCTGGCCATGGAGACCACGGTTCCACCCCAGCCCAATTCTCTGAGACAGGTTCTGGGACCTGCACCTGGAACCTGAGCCTAGGGCCCCATCCCCCAACAATCTGTAAGTCTCCTCGCATCCCTTAAACAAGATCTTTCTTATTAAACTGGAGTGGGTGACATCATCTGCGACAGAGTCCACAGAGCTTTAAGCACAAGTTATCTACTCAGTTTTAGGAGCTACTGCACAGAGGACTTCTATTTCTCTGAAATAAGATACGTATCTTCAATACCTTTTTTACGTCTATTTCTTCTTTCAGCTCTGTGATTCTACTCGTATTCCGTGCAAATTTGTTTATCTTTTGCTGGTCTTCAAAGGTAACATTGACGTCTTCTGCAGCCTGAAAGAGGTAAAGACCAGACCCTCCTTAGTTGGCCCTCACTTGGCGACACTTAGAGGGGGAAAGACGTAGTTTTAACAGGGACGGCCAATATCAGTGATGGGTCACGATCCCCACACTGCCCCTTCACCTGCCTCTCCTGACCAAGGACAGAGGTATGTCCACTCCGATTTCTCCAGAGGGTGAGAAGCACTGCTGTCTTGGAGCTCAGTGGTCAGATAAGAAGGCAGACACCTAGAACTTAGCCCTCCCCTCCCAGGCTCTCATCACCCCGTAGTTTCGCACCCATCAGGCCAATCATCAAAGACCCAGAGAACATGCTGGAAAAAAGCGTTTACTTCACGATATGCACAGCCTCGACTGTGGAACCTCGGGCCTAATTCTACGAACAGGGAAGCTGGTCAACAACGGCCTGCAGCACAGAAACCGGCCGTTCACAACTCCGATTCCCCAAGCAAGCAGGGCACAGGATTCTCGAGTCCTGCTGCCTGCAGAGTCACGGTGAGCCCCACAACTGAATACGTATCTGCGGATGCATGCGTCGTGTGAGGCTCGATGGGGCACCCACGTGAAGGCCCCAGGACAGGGCTCCCCACACACACAGCTGGGCTCCACAGTGGCTTCTGAAAGGGAACCTGAATCGAGCTTGATCACACACACGCACGCATGCGTGCGCCATGGTTTCTGAGACCTGTTTCCCGTCTTTCCAGAGCGGGCACTTCTGTTGGAGACCACCCACAGCAGCCCCCGCACACACCTGGGCCCTGGAGTTCATTTCCTTCAGGGTGGTTTTCTCAGGGGGGTTAGGGGCTCAGGTTGGCGCAGGCGGCAGAGCGGCACTGGGTAAACCGCATGCCACCCGTGGCGTCCGTGGCAGCAGAAAGGGAGCCGTCCCCTTCCCGGACAGCAGCGGTGGCTGGTCTCCGCCCCCCGGACCTGGACCGCTCCCACCCTGCTCGCAGCCTCGTTCTGCCGGGGAGGGCTTCACTCTTGGTCGGGGCCCGTGGACACGGAGGGGCCAGTCACCCCGGAAACTCATGCAAAATGGCATGTCTGGTACGCACATCCGTCTGGGAGGGTCTTCACAGCTTTCGTCAGGATTCTTTTTTTTTAATCCTCACCCAAGGACATTTTGTTGTTGTTGTTCAGATAGAGTGGGAGGGAGAGAGAGGAAGAGAGAGAAACATCGACGTGAAAGGGACACCTCGAGTGGCTGCCACCGCACGACCGACCAGGGCCGGGGACAAACTGCAACCGAGGTACGTGCCCCGAGCGGGAACTGAACCGGGGTCTATATGGTCTGCAGGCCGACGCTCTAACCGCTGAGCCAACCCAGCCAGGGCTCATCAAGATTCTTATAGGGATCCACACCCCCAAAGATTAGGGACTCCTGCTTTCAGAAAAGGCCGATGTGGTTACCACCACGCACAAAGCCGTAAGAATTCGAGGAACAAGGAGGGATTTCGTACAACTGGGCAGCACAGAGCGGTGGGAATCAAACCCGGGCGGGCAGCACAGAGCAGTGGGGATCAAACCCGGGCGGGCGGCACAGAGCGGTGGGGATCAAACCCGGGCGGGCAGCACAGAGCAGTGGGGATCAAACCCGGATGAGCAGGAACCATGGCAACTTATCCAGTTCTTCGGAGCCAACCCACGTTTGTCCCCCGTAAAATGGGGACGCTATTCCTAGACACAGGGGTGATGGGCACAGAGCAGAGGGCCTGGGGATGGAGTCACCTTTCAAAGTGACAGCTCAGTGCTTTATTTCCTGAATAACGTTTCCCAAAAGTCATTACAAAGGAAGAACAGACCCAGATCTAGAAGAAAATGCTGCTCAGCTGAAGAGAAACAGAACTGCGGAAGATTTGGGGTGAAAATTAAAGTTTCCCAGACTCTGCCCTGGCCAGTTTGGCTCAGCGGTTAAAGCGCTGGCCCACAGACCGGAGAGTCCCGGGTTCGGTTCCTGCTAAGGCAGTGGTTCTCAACCTTCCTCATGCCACAGCCCTTTGACACAGTTCCTCATGTTGTGGTGACCCCAACCATAAAATTATTTTCGCTGCTACTCATAACTGTAATTTTGCTACTGTTATGTCTTAGGCGACCCTGTGAAAGGGTCATTTGACACCCAAAGGGGTCGAGACCCAGAGGTTGAGAACCACTGCACTAAGGGCATGTACCTCAGTTGCAGTTTGTCCCCAGCCACGGTGTGTCTCTCTCACATCGATGTTTCTCTCTCTCTCTTCCTCCCTCTCCCTCCCGCTCTATCTGAAGATAAATGCAAAAATGTCCTTGGGTGAAGATTAAAAAAAAAATTTCCTGGACCACAAATGTACCCTTTTCTGGAGACTCAGTATCATATGGCATTATGGGAGGAAACTGAACCATAACCAGTCACGCCCCACACTGAGTGTGGGTGTTACCAGCAGAATCTCAACTGACAACTGGGTCTCTCATTGCTCTGAAAACCTGGGAGAAGGAAATTCTGGCCAATTTCAGCCTGCTTCTATTTGTGTTCTTTGCAGGTATCTACCAAATCAATGCTGTAAGATTATGCTCTGTATTTGTGTTCACCTTTCGTGCACATGCTCATTCAGTAGTTATTCAGTGTCTCCTGTGTGCCAGGCAGGGGAGGGGGGCCGCAGTCCCACCCTCATGAATACTGGTCAGCTTACATTTTGGTGGAGAAGACCGGCCAAAAACAAGGTTTTCTGCTAGATGGTGATACATGGGATGACGACAAGGGTTGAAGAGTTGGGAGGGCTGGGGGGGTGAAGAGGACTTCTTTCAATAGGAAGGTCAAAGACGGCTTCTCTGAGGAGGGAGCATGAACAGGTATCGGACTGTAGTCCCCCACATGGCCACCAACCAGATCTTAGAAAGCAGAACTTTGGCCCTGGCTGGTTTGGCTCAGCAGTTAGTGTGTCAGCCTGCGGTACGGAGAGACCCGGGTTCAGTTCCCGCTAAGGACACGTACCTCGGTTGCAGTTTGTCCCCGACCCCGGTTGGTCGTGTGGGTGGCAGCCACTCGATGTGTCCCTTTCACATCGATGTTTCTCTCTCTCTCTATCTTCCTCTCACTCTACCTGAACAAAAAAGTGGAAAAATGTCCTCAGATGAGGATAAAAAAAAAAAGAAAGCAGAACTTTGGAGGTGAGGGAACTGAATCATCTCCTCTGAACATTCGGAAAACTCAGGGCACCTTGGGAGGTCGTGTGTCACAAATGTGAAGTGCTCCAGATTGAAATCGTTTTTGTGAAACTCAAGGGGCGATCCCTGTGTATCCCACTCCCAGTCACTGGCATGCCCAGATGTTTTTCCTGGAGGGGCAGAGGGGGAAATGTACATGTAGCAGCCTATCAGTTGTTCACAGTGATGGAAACATCTGGGAGAGGCAGTTGCATCCATCATGCCAGTTTTAAGATAAGGAAGAAAACCCTTCATGTTCTGGCCACACCTACCCTACCCCCCTAATGTTTTCCAACCACCATGGTTCGAGCTCTCCTCCCCAGATTCTTGGCCATTCTGACTTTCCTTTTATTGAAGGCACTGAGGGTCTTTGCAGGAGAAACTCCCTCTCTGCAATACCTTGCTCCCTTTCCACCTTTCTCTTCCCCTCCTTATGGGATCTAATAGATCACACCTTCTCTGGTCACGAAACACCCTTCACTTCCCACCACCTTTCTTCCACAGCTCTTCCCGGAGCTAGAAATTTTAGTTTTCTGTGTCACCATTCGATTAATGCCTGTCTCTCCCCTGAGCGCGAGTTCTACAATGCCATGAGGATAAGGGAATAAAACTTCATTACTGCTGACCATTGTCATCGCCATCCCATAAAACTGAGACTGTGCCACATGACATGCTCAAAAAGCTTGTTGAATGAATGAAAGGACAAAATGGGTGAACCACAGCTAGCATCTTCCATGGAATTCAAGGCCATACTAACAAGAGGCCCCGGTTTAAACACAAACTAGGGGGAAAGTGAGTCACACACAGTGTCATGCTTGCCTGAATGACCATGGTCCTGAACCTGACTCAAGTGCTCACTAAGAATGTGTAGATGACAGACCAATACAGAGGGAACTCACGGCTGGCCGCGAGGTCAGTCCCCACTTTGGCACATCCCCAATCTCAGGCTCACAAGGATGGGTGGCCATCCCACACCTCTATACAGTCGGAGAGCGAAGGAAGCAAGTTCGGATGTGGTCCTCGAAGTGGAGGGAGAGCAAACATACACAAAACCTTAGGCAGCAAGTCCCTTCAGCCAGGGGGCTGTCATCAGACACCATGGAAGTTCAAAACCCAGGCTCTGCTGCCACAACACCCGTGTTTCTTTAAATCCCCGCTTGGGCCCTGCTGGTGTGGCTCAGTGGTTGACCATCGAGCCATGCACCAACAGGCCGCCCGGTTGGATTCCAGATGGGGGCACATGCCCAGGTTGTGGGCCAAATCCCCAGAGGAGGGCATGCAGGAGGCGGCCAATCGATGGTCTCCCTCATGGATGTTCCCATCTCTCTCCCCTTCTCCCTTCCTCTCTCCCAAATCAATAAAGAAAAAAAAAATTTAATCCTAGCTTTGCCTTTGAGCTTGTTTCCTGTCTGTGAACTAAGGATGAAAAGAGATCTCCCCGAAAGGAGGGTTAGGTTCAAAGCATGTGTGCAAGGCGCTCAGCGCAGCCTCAATAAGCATCAGCTGATGGTCTTTCCTCGCCCGGCCTCCCCGTCGCATGTCTCTTCCATCCTTAAGCATCTGGGTGGACTGACGGCCTTACAAACCCTACAGAGGAGTTCCGTGTGCCTAGTAGGGCCACGGGGAGCTTTGGAAAATACACACTAACAACAATAACGAAGCCTGAGCCTGGATTCCAGCTCCGCTTCCACTGGCTGAGTCACTCGGGCCGCTCACCGCTCTGCGCCTAAGTCGCTCCGTCTGGGAAGTGGGGGGCTGTGCCCTTGCTAAGCTGCGGGAGGGACGGGGGACACAGCGGGCGGGCGGGGGCGGGCGGGGGCGGGCTCTGGCCCCTCACCCGGGTCGAGGGTCTGCTCAGCTCCCCGCGCGGCGGAACCTTGGGCAGGTGCCTCCACCTACCTGGGCCGCAGCCTCCTCGCCTGCAAAGGACGCTCCCGGTACGACGCACCCGCGTGCACCGTGCGGGTCCCAGGGGACGACCCTGGGGAAGCGCTCGGCGCCGTGGCCAATGGACCCTCGGCTGCCCACGCCCCGGGACACGCCTGGGCCGCGGACCCCCCGACGCTCCGGGGCGCCGGGTGCGGGCAGGCCTCGCCGCGGGGCCGCGCTCAGGGTCGGGGGCTCGGCCCCGGGCCCCACGCCAGGCCTCGGGGGTGAGCACCCCGGCGCCGCTCGCCTGGCCCCTCGGCGGCCCCGCGCGCCCGCCGCCCGAGCATCCGCCCGCCAGCGCCCCACTCACCGCCTTCTTCATGGTGGCCGCCATCTTGGGACTGGACCACGGCGCGGCGCGGGGAGGGCCGAGCCCGCGCGCTCCTTCCCCGGCCCGCGCTCACTCCCGGTGGGCCCACGACTCCCGCCAAATACACCCCCGTCTCCACACTCCCTCCTCCTGGACCTTCGACCGAGGGCTTCGAACGTCTCGGACTCCAGGAGGCAATTTAATCTGAAGGACTTGGTACGTTCCAATTAAAGGGACGGCCACCTCCGTGTGAGCCGACAGAAACTGGGGAGGGGCGGGGCGTGAACGGCCGCGGCTCCGGCAGCTGGAGGCAGGAGCGCCCGGCGGGGCGGGGCCTCGGGGGGTGGAAAGCAATGTTCTCATCGACCCCGCAGGTGTATATGGAGAAACTGACCCGCCTACAAGGGCTAAGAACGGATGACCCTGGCAATAAGATGTGATATTAATGGGCTCTGATAATTCAGGTATAAAGGTGGAAGAACTTCTGTTAACTAACTTATTCAACTATACTGTTTGGACCAGCAAAAAAAAAAAAGAAGCCTGGGGTACAGATGAAAACAATTGGAGACCGCTGGGCAGGAAAAAACCTCACCAACAACCTCGTGAAAATACCATCCGCAGCCCGCGTGGCTCAGTGGTTGAGGTGGACCCATGGAGGAGAGGTCGCTGGGTCGATTCCCGGTCCGCGCACGTGCCCAGGTTGCGGGTTCCATCCCCATTAGGGGCATGCAAGAGGCAGCTGATTAATGTTTCTATGTCTCTCTTCCTCTCCCTTTTTCTCTAAGAATCAATAAAAACACTTTAAAAAAAAAGGTGAGAAAATACTATCCCCAATGGGGGGGGGTAGGTGTTGGAATTAACACATTGGAGGTAGGGGTTAACAAATTCCCTTATACCAGGTTGAACACTGGCCTCCCACTGCCTGGACCCAAGATATGGTTTTCTGTTTTTTACCCACGTAGTATTTCTTTTTTAACCAACATATGAAAATTAGATTTCACTCGACAATATCAAAATAGTACTTTGTTCAGCTTGAGCTTATAAAATCAGAGTCCTGGTGACCCTGAGCCTACATTTTTGCACAACAGCAGCTGCTGGTATTTGCTGATTGGACATGGCCACTTAGCTAACAGGCCCTCTCCAGGGCCGACCCCTGCCTGGGGCTGCACTTACCAGTCAGGCCCTCAGGCCTATGAACTTGTCACCCGAGACTTCTGTTCCCATGCATCTGAATGAGGGGCTTTGTGCGTGCATTTGTTTGTTTGAAATCTGCACGGTGCTAGGTACTATTTTGAAAAGCAAGAAGGATTAAACAAGGTGTTTGGACCTTACTGTGGGTACACATATATCACCACAGGTCACAGCACCTGCAGCTGCGCCCTGGGACAACTGCTGAGAGGTCCCCGTGGGGCAGAGCTGTGTGTGTCCCAGCGGAGTAGGGCAGTAGGAACACAGCAGGGGGGAAATAGACCAAGTTCCTTGACTTCGCAGTTTACATTCTAGTGATGGGAGACGGACCACAGTGCATGTCGAAGTGAATTATACAGTATGTTAGACAGTGAATATTATCGATATGCTATTAGTAGCTAGAACAAGAACATGAATAGTAATAAAAGACTGTCACTACCAGCATGAAAACTTTGAGGAAGGTGCAAGGAATCGGGCAGTAAGTATGTTGATTGGAAAATTGAGGGGAACAAAAACCCAAGCTGAATTAACATGTAAGCTACAAAATTATCCACACACGTCCCAGCTTAATTTAGATTCTGTCACAAAGCGATAATGAGTAAGCGGCCTGCATGAGTTCCCTCCAAAACCTGCAGGATCTGCACCAGACTCCTGGTTCCAAGGCCACAGGGGCACCAGCAGGGGGCGCCCAAGGACCGTGGTCGTGTCCCCAGACCCCAGCCTGAGGCCACCTGGATAATATTCCAATATATCAACACAACGATGGTTTTCTTAAAAATCTGGTTTAAAGACGCTGAATAAATATATTTTAAAGGACATTTAAAATCCCTGACTTAAAGGGAAAAAAAACAGTTGCACTTACTACAGGAACAGATATTAAGGGATTTCAGTACATCACCAAGCTCTCCCAGATGAAACTGTTTCAGCTGAGATTTGGTCAGAGTGGAAGGTGACAGGCAATAGAAGGGGAGGAGGGCCAGGTGCTGCCCCTAAGGGTGAGTGCGTCCTTCCAGACTTTCCTGGCACCTCTCATTTGCTTGACCCCAGTCCCAGCCCCAGAGGGAGGGAAGGAAGTATGGAAGGAACCTTTACTATCAAGTCAAGATAGATGATCATGGTGTATTTATTATTTATTTTATCCTCACACAAGGACATCTTTTGATATTTTGTTCAGATAGAGTGGGAGGGAGAGAGAGACAGAAACATCGACGTGAAAGGGACACATCGAGTGGTTGCCACCCTCACGACCAACCGGGGCCGGGGACAAACTGCAGCCGAGGTACGTGCCCTTAGCGGGAACCGAACCCAGGTCTCTCCAGACTGCAGGCCGACGCTCTAACCGCTGAGCCAAACCGGCCAGGCCGATCACGGTGTGTTTAAAGAAAAAGGGAAGGAAAGAGAAGGACCAGAGATGAAGCTGGAGAGGTGATCCCCCCCCATCCTCCTGCCTCCCACTCTGACAGAGGTGCGGGTGGAGAGCAGTTTCCCTGGTCTGCAGGGCCAGGGGAGAATGTACATGAGAGATGAATGACCTGGAGGGGCAGCCGGCAGCTCCTCACCTCCAGCCAACTGTCCCCATGAGGAAATGGGGACCCAGTACCATTAGACATTCCCCTTTTTCCTAGAACCAGTCCTCTGGATTTTTTTTTTTTGCTGTTGTTGTTAAATCTTGTGATTTTGAAACCATTCAGATAAATTCCTTTTCAAATAAATCCTAAACCTACTAGCTGGAGCGTGCAGGCCACCCACCAATCTGTGCCCTCCCCGGGTGCACATTCTGGAATGTTCTTATGACCAAATGTCTCATTCCTAACTAAAAAAGGGGGTGAGGGGTTCTCTAGGTTTTCTGAAGCAAACCTATGCAAACCGGGGACTGGGTTACTGAAAGATGGCCTCCCTGGGCTAGTGACTGTCACCTGGACTAACCTCCTTCCTGTTTTGTTCCATGATCACGGGGATTTCCACTGTGTTCCGTCCCCAAAAGCCTTGCGTGGCTGTTGTTAACCTCTTCCACCTCTAAACTCCGCCCTTGTTCCAGAGCTGGCACTTTTCTAAGCTACCACTGTATATGCTTTACCTTCTCTCTTGTGGTTCTTTTGCGTCTTACTGTGCCGGGCAATAGAAAACAGTGTCAGTGTGTGTTTGGCTCGACGGTTTTGTACGTGGTTTTTAGCATGGCCCTGTTTGAAATCCTTCACGGACTTCCCAGTGCACGTGGGTATCATTTGGATTCCCTACCAAAGTCTACCCTCCCTCTCTGACCTTATTTCATACCATCTTTCCCCTTATTCACTATGCTCCACCCTGTCAGGCCTCCGTGCTTTGGATGCTGCCTGCTCCCTTCTGCCTCAGGGCCTTTGCACTTGCTCATTCTGTAGCCCTTGATGTCCTTTCTCCTGTTACCCACTTGGATCAATTCTACTCATCCTCTGTGTCTGTCCATCAAGAAAGCTTTTCTTGAACACATGCACCACCCAGAAACACAGCATGCCTCCTTCAACATCCTAGAGGCCTCCAATCATCTCTGTAATCACTGGACCAATAGGAGGGTAGATGCTTGACAAATATTAGCTAAGGAATAAATACATGCATAAATACATGAGTGACTGTGTATTGAGGGATTAACACAGAACTAATACAATATAGCGGTTTAGTTCATTCAGTAACAGTGTACGAGAGTCCTTAGGGTGTTTCCATTCACTTCTTTTTTCTTGTTTCTTTTTTGCTACATCTGGCCCTACAGGCCTCCCACAGGTTGCCATCATGTGGACTCGTTGCCGGAACAGCCCTTCCTTCTTTCACCAGGTGGCGCTGTGACTCCAGACTCTGACATTTTCTTTTTCTCTCACAACCCCTAACAGTCCACATTCTTGTCTCCCCTTGGCAACGCAAGATTGAGCAAAATCAAGGAAACCTCTCTGTCTTTGGACCAAGACATCACCATCTTTTGCTACTTTGAATTCTTGCCTTACTGTTTACCTGGCAAAGGCAAAGCATTGCCCAGAGCCCTCGACGTATGCATTGATTCCAGGCCTTTATAAAATAGGTCGTTAACGCCCGTTTATTTCGAGGTGCAGGCTTCTAGCAGTTTTGATACTGAGAATGAGTACAGCTGTAAGGGGCAGCTGAAGCATATCTTTGAATCCAAGTGTACATTTCCTGGTGTGAGTCATTCAGCAAAGGTTTACTCGGAACCTCCTGTGCACCGAGCACGGAGCCAGGCAGCCTGTCACAGATGCTGCTCCTAAAAGGGCCGGGGGGGGGGGGGGATTTGTGCTCACCTGGTACCCCTGGAATCATTTTCTATTTGGGGAAATTTCCAGTTCATGGGGGTTTCCTTTCCAATCTAGAAGTCAGAACTCAATTTCCTGCCACCCTTCAAGTTAGGGTGCAGACCTATGGCTCTACGTACAGCCAACCAAAGTCACCAGTGGGAGACTTTGCCCTAAGGGCCCAAAAGAGAAGGCGCCAGGTGCCGGGGGAACCCACTCCTGTGAGGACAGCCTGGCACAGGGGGCTTGAGTTCCCTGAAGCAGCAGGAAGGGAGGTCCTCCTGGGAGGCCCTGGCCTCAGTGACTCGGGCCCAGAGGTGCTGAGATCCTAGCAACGAGCAGGCCAGCAAGGTCATTCCAATGCCGTCCCTAGAGCAGATGACGACCCTCAGCGAGGGTGGGTGCGCATCCCACCCCCGTTTCCAAACGCCGCCACTACTGCTGACGCCAGCGACGGGAAGTCAGGTTGTCTGACACGGAGAGCCCTAAAAAGATGTTATTTTAAGAAAACAGTTATTCCTGTGTCGCTGTAAATTCAGCCAAGGCAACCAGCAACATAGCAGAGGTGAAG